CTCTATCTCTAAAATCCCGTGTCCTACAACTATTTCGCGCCCTTTTCGTTCGTTCCCAGTTTTCCCTGTCCGAGCAAATATAACTAAAATATTAATGTCAACAGTAAATGTCCAACAGTTTGATCCATATAATGTACCATTTTACATATCGACTATGCTATCGAGTATAAATGTTTACGAATACATAAGTTAATTATTAAGCAGCTGTTAATAGCGTGCGTGTGAAATGAACATTAATCCATACAAGGTTTGTTATTTTATTACATATTCTACCACCTCAAACTCAAATTATAGCAAATAGTTTAGAATAATTATTTTAATGTGTGTTCACTCGCTGTCTTCTTCGTCCATTTTGATGCTTCAACATTAATATATCAACAAGAACGATCACGTGACTATGGCTTGGCGGGAATTTGTAAAATATCCCTAATTCACCCCCAGTCTACATTTTATCCTCAGTCTGCATTTTATACCCCCAGTCTGCATTTTGTACCCAGTCCGGTCTGCAGTCTGCAGTCCGCAGATTATACTGACCGCCTATCATACCCTGGATTCCAGAGCCTTCGACAATAAATAATAAATTGAAACATCGCGAAGGCTCTGGTTCAACGGGAAGATTCTTTGATTAAACTGCGCCAATCACAAAACAGAATTAGTAGTTTTAGTAATTAGTACAGATTCTGTACTAACAGCACTAATTCTGTTCTGTGATTGACACGGTTTATAAATCAAAGAATCTTCCTGTTGAACCAGAGCTTTCGCAATGTTTCAATTCATTATTTACTGTCAAAGGCTTTGGAATCCAGGGTAGTGCTATCGTAACAAAAGAGGAACATTTGTTTGCTTTTTGAAATGAAATAGAACATATAATTATATCATTTTAATGACTTGCTTCCGATTTTCAGAAAGGTCTTGGAAACATTGTTAATTGTTGATACTTTTGAAATATTCAGCAACTTGCCGATGAAATTTTTATAAAATATTGCCATAAAATATATAACATTCTAAGACTAAGGCTATATATATATTGATACTATTGATACTATAGTGCTGTTCCAACGTACAATAATGTGAAAAAAAGAAAAGAAAAAAAAAAGATGAAAAAGTTTTTTCATCAAGTGAGAAAAATTTCCGGAGAAACTTTCCAAAATTGTTGTCGCTCCAATATTGTTTAGGTCCATTTTTTTAAGTATTTTATAAAGCGTATGCTATGTATGTGCTAAGAAGCTAGTTTTGTTGGCATGTGGAAAGCAAAAGTAGCGAAGGTAAAGAGATTAAAATTGGATTTAGTGCGTATTTTTGAAAAAATTTTTACCACAAAATATGGTAGTCCCCCCCCCCCGTCGATGACACTTGTGACGTCAGGTACATACGGGACTTTGGAGGCGGGTTTTGGCGGGAAAATCTGTAATGTTTGGAGAAGACAAGATGGCGCTGGTTACCTCGTGTTATATCAAACGGCATTTTTGTTCACAAATACCCGCTTATTTTACGTTATAGCGACTGGTTCGTTTTGGAAATTATAACTCAATGGACGGGGAAAATGATTCTGTATTAAAGAGAAAATGATGTGCAGTTATTGTGATGTTATTTGTTGTGAAAGACGGCCCGAAATTTCGCTACTTCGCAGTACTGGTTTATAAAACATTTACAAGCAACAGCAATTGAACTATACGACAAAGAAACCAATGTATACAAGCCAATCAAGTTCTTCAGTTTAAAGGTCTGTTTACTTTTTAATAATTAGTTCATTTAGTTGTACATTAATACGAAGTACTGGAACAGTACGCCTAGTCACAGAATAGGAAGGTATAACCTGAAGTTCAGGCCCTATCACAGAATAGGGCCTGACACAAAACCTATCTAAAGTGTGGGATTCCCGTCCACCTGGTGGACGGGAAATCTGATTGGTTGATCAGCATCATGAAGGATTTTGATTGGTTGCAAGTTCACATAAACAACAGTTTTAAAAATAGCTCGGTCAAGGCGAGAATTAATATAAAGGTCAAACGCACGTAACAAATTCCATTATCGATTTCTTCGAATTTCTTTTCTTTTATGCTTTATGGAAGAAAATAAATCAAATCTTTGTTTGCTGTTCGCCTGTTTGGTTAAATAGAGAAACTGACTCTTAATTATATAAAAGTATCTTGAATTTTTAAGTTTAATTAATTAAAAAGCAAAATGCTCTGCGGTCATGTTCATGAGAATATAATTTTTTGTGTAACGAAATCTACAACACTTGTCAATCATATTGCATGTGTGTCTAAAAATAACATGTGGGCGTCCCACGCACTGAGCTGTATAATAACTGGAGGACCTGCTCCTATACTTCGTTCAGTCAACGAAGTGAAGCCAAAAAAATGGCGGATTTTGAGTGAAAATGATGCCATTTCCATGACAACACTTACTTTATTTTCATAGTAGGTACCACTGACCAGACTCAATTCTGAGCCCACAGCCGTTTTCACACCCCCCTGGTTTTTGCAAAAAAGTTTTGCAGAAAATATAGTTCTCGTGATTTTGTAGTGATTTTGAATCGGTTTTTAAAATTTTTTCGATATAAATTTTCTACCTTTGACTATTTGGACAAAGATATGCAAGTTGTAGGTGTTATTTTCGCTCGTGAAAGACGACAAACAAATTTAAAACCTCAAGAAATGTGGGAAAAGACGAGGATTTAATACAAAGGTAAGAGACAAATTTTCATATTTCAATTTTTTAATATTTAGACTTTACCTTTATATTTGACACGAAATTGATAAGCATAACGATGAAGCTGACACTCTATTTGTTAATAAAACAACTTCCTATGCAATACATATGGTAAAGTGTAAAATTTCCCACTATTTTA